AAGAGCTCTCGGGTCCTTAGTCTTCATCATTGGGACCTCTCTTTCGGAATTCAGCACAGAGAAAGCGACATTATGACAATCTGTAGTATCAGGAGAATAGGGACGTTCACTTCGGACAACAAACTGTTCATGTAAGTCTTGGTCCCCAACAGAGGGTTGCACAGGCTGAGCTTCAGTAAGGTTGTTCACTTGCGGAGAGTCTTCATCGGACAGAGAACCATACAGAGGGTTGGTCGTCACAGTAAAACCTGGTAAGGTATCAACATTCTGGCGGTTGTTGCCTGACATAGCTACCAACAACTCCCAACTTGATTTCACTTCTTAACACTGCTCAATCCTTCTTCAAACACTTGGTCGTCTCCCAACAATCACCACTTGTTCAGAACGGGCACCAGGGAATCACGCTCTGATAAAAAACAAAGGCAGGATGAGAGCTCTGGCTTGCTGAAGAATGATATGCAAAATGATGCATAGATGTTTATGCAAATGCAATGCAAAATGCAAGGGACACGGGATCACAGCCTCCACAAATCTCTGAATAACTGCTGCGCTGCTGACTGGATAAGTTCAAAAGTCTGCTGACTGAAGAGTCGCCACCGAACTTTATTTATCCCATGAGGGGAAGGGAAAACATCGAGAAAACCCCAAGAAAAGAACGGATAAGATGGTCTCGCGACCAAAGAATGGGTTTGGAAGCCGGTTATTTGAAAATAAGGTATTGACATCCCTCGCATCCATCGTACTCGATGGGAACCATTTGTTTGTCGACGTGTGAAGTTATTTGCTAAAATATATTGCTATAAAGAGTGCTCCAACGGGGTGAAGAGAAAGGTTAGAAACGGGAAAGGAGAGGTAACGGGGGAGAAAAGAGACTCGGTAGGACTTCCCGGTCCTAAGCCTACGTATTCTCAATAGATATGAGAAAGTCAGAGTCGACGTAGTTCGGGGAACCACGGGTATAAAGGGGAATGTGCTCGGCAAGGACTGTGGCCCTTGCAACTTGTGGTTGTTGCTGATATTGTTGTTGGCGTGGAGCCCTATTCTTGTTCTTATTTCTGTATCCTGACACATTTGTTTCACCTTCCCTCTTTTTACCAAAAGTCTTTCTCCCTCCCTCTTTTTACCAAAAGTCTTTCTCCCCCACCAGACGTGGATGCTTCCCCTTCCCCTGCTTGAATTTTTCCCAGTTTAATACCATTCTCAACTCTCTCGCCAGTAATAATCAGATCTGAGAAACTGCCTGACATGTTTCCAATCAGCTTTTTATAATATATCCCTGGCAATGTTGCCACGAACATATCAATATCAATGAGTTCTCTCTCAACCATTGGTGGCTGAACCCTCGCAGCTAATTCACATTCCAAAGATGGTCCAGACAGAACCCTCGCAGCTAATTCACATTCCAAAGATGGTCTAGACAAACTGTCTTGGAAGAAGTGCATTAACAACTTTTCATCATCAGAATATGCAGACATCTTCTTGTAGTAGGATCGGAGGTGTACTCTGGGACAGGTCGTCCTTTTGTACTTGTCAAAGGCAGGTGAAATTTTCAGACCTGGTGGAATTTCCAAAGATGATCCCAGCCCCAGGTTAGACATATCGAGACCAACATCTTCCAGTAGTAGGATCAGAGGTCTACTCTGGGACAGGTCGTCCCTTTGTACTTGTCAAAGTCAGCTACGTTGAACTTCGGAGGTATTTTCAGACCTGGGATCAGCCCCAGGGGAGACATATCGAGACCAAGAGAATTCTGATTCTCCAAGTTCTTCATCTTCTCCTCTATCATTCTTCATCTTCTCCTCTATCATTCTAAACCTCTTGTCCGCATCAGACTGCAGGCTTACGCCCAGATCTCTCATAGAAAAGACATCATCCTGTTCGTCCTCCTCCCACTGAGGACTGACATTACCATGTAGTGCCCGCTGCACCTGAAATGTGAGCTCCAGGTTGATTACCTCCGCCCGGAGGAATAACAACTGTTGGAATAACATTGGCTTGAGGAGTGTCATTGTCAGCTGGAGGAGGAACTGCAGTGGTCCCACCGTGCAAAACTCCGCTTCCATCAACCCTAACAATCAAAGGTTGATCAAGCGTCCTCAACTGTTCTTGGCCGTTAGCAAACCCTTGCATAAGATCCATGAACTGCGCCATGCGATCTCTTAACTCTTGTAACTCAAGTTGAATCTGATCCATTGCTTTCTGTTGATTTCCCCTAGTCGAGTAATGGTGAATTGTCCGGTCTGCAATCCTGAAACACTGCAAACGGAGCAGTTCCGTTGACTTTTCAAATGGCAAGAAAACTTCAATCTCAGCCTTCCAACTTGTTCCTTATGCTTTGGAGAAGAGAAAACGAGCAACAGTTTGGAGCAATATTCAATATATAACCATATTCGAAGAATGGATTTTTTATAAAAATTCCAAGTTCTCTCTTCTCTCTCAAGCAGCTGCAACCACCTCTGAGCTTCTAGGGCACATTCCTGGCTTTTATGTGGTGGGTTCTACATGTCCATGCAGGCCCATGTTGGCAGCATCGTGTGTTTTCAAATTTTTTGGCAAAAAAAAAAATCATGTGTACACCACACACGGGTTTGGCCAGCTCCATTCAACGGAACCGTATTAGAGTTTGGGTTAAAACAACCTTACAAAACCATTACAGTTTGACCTAACACTAATTTGGTATCAGAGCCTATCGATGGAACCTTGGGCAACCCACCGTTTAAATCCACGCACCAAGCCCAAAAAAGAGTGTTGGGCGTGAGGGGGTGTATTAGGAAGATCCTAAAGTCCCACATTAGTTGGAGATAGATCATTGAAACCAGACTCTGATACTATATTAGTGTTAGGCTAAACTCTAATGGTTTTGTAAGGTTGTGTTAGGCCAAACTCTAATGGTTTTGTAAGGTTGTGTTAGGCCAAACTCTAATATGGTTAGCATTAGCTTACTTGGAGTGTGTAGAAAACAAATGGAATTATTTTGGTAATGTAGAATCCATTGGTACAAGGTTTTGCAACATCACTTTTAAGGTAAGAATTTTGAAAACATGGCATGTAATATGTACCTTGGTTGGTCCCAAAATGGTAAGGATTTGCAAGACACAAAGTTTGATGTCATGTGGTGCCCAAAAGTTCAATACAAGGTTGTATATGAAGAAAACCAATTCATGCTTAAAAGTCACTTTTTCAAGCTTAAAATGGTCCATATGATCACATAATCCATCAAACTTCATGGAAATCAAGCTCATGATGAAGTTGAATCAATGTGGCACAACATTCATGTGACACAAAATTTGATTTGAAGTCTCAAAGTTCATGAAATTGACCATTGAAGAAAATGACCTATAATAAACTTTTCCAAAATACCCTTGCCTTGTGAGGTCCATAACTTGAGATGTACACATGATAAAGAGGCCTTCTAGGACTTTTTGGAAAGCTAATATCATAAGGAACAACTTTCATGTTTGCTTGAAAGTGAGGAGAAACTTGATTCCATGCCAAAAATGCCTTGGAAGTGAGTTGACTTTTAGTTGAGATGTACAAAAATACCAAAATTCTCTTCATCCGAGGACACTAACTTGTTGACATCATAACTTGAGATGTACAAACTCAACGAATGAGTTCTTATACTCAAAATAAAGCTTAAAGGATGATTAACAAGTCTCATGTTTTCATGAAGTGAGATTGAGCTTGCATCATAGGGAAAAAATGTCCTTGAAGTTGGGTACCAAAGAAGGGGATTTTACACTGAAATCATCTGAAACCCTAATTTAGCAACTCCTTGAACTCTTGAGTCTCCTTGATTTGATCTTATCATGACATCCTAGATGCTTTAGGATGGCCTCCCATGGCTCAATGACCTAGAACCAAGTTTTGAACCCCTCAAGTCCAATGGTTGACCAGATGAAACCCTAATTCCACATTCTTTAACTGAGGCTCTTGCAGATGAAATGAATGACTACACAAGCTCCACAAAGCCCTCTCAAGGTACACAATGAGCTTTTAAATCATGCCTTATCCAAGTAAGTGACCTCATGATCCTCTGATGACCCTCAAGATAGGAGGTTACACCCATACACAAACCTCTCCTCTCAAGGAGCTTTAAAACCCAATCTTGATAGTAATGAAACCCTGATGGCTTGCACATGATACCTTTGCTTGAGCTTGAACATGAAGCTCTCCTCTTGAATGACACAACAACTCTTGATCCCCTGTTAAGAACCAATGATATGCAAATGCTAAAATGAAATGAAACACAAGCCAAGTTAAAAAAGAAGGGTTGGCCAAATTTTGGGGTACAACAGCCGTCTAAGTTCTCGATAATATATAGCCAAGTAATAATACTTAATATCTATTAAAAAAGTAATAATATTAAAATACTTAAAAACGCTCACCAATGCATTTGTGGGTATAATTTTCTTTCAATTTTTAATTTTAGAAGAATATTATGATCCTATGTTAACGATCTTGCTACCCCCTTCCGGTCTCACGTAATTAATTGGCTATGATCTTACAATCCTGGCTGTGATCTTACGTGGTACAATCTAGCTGCTCCCATCCAGATCTCTAGCAAAACCTTGATCTTGATGATATTGAGAATGGTACCGTTTCAATAATATTGTCTGAAAGTGCTTAAGTTGTTAGTAACTTTCTGAAGCTTTTGTGTTCCTTTTATCCGTTGTTAGCAAATGTGTGGTAATTTTATTTTTGGGCTTGACCTGACATGTGACGTTACCAAATAGTATTCAACTCAAACAAGCAATCTAACCTGACACCGCTCACTGTGCCACCCATGAAATAGGGAGATATTTGACACCCCTCACTGTGCCACCCATGAAATAGGGAGATATTTACCTGACAGTCAATACAGTACTTGTAAGAAACTGATAAAAATATAAAACTAGGTTCTTAGTTTTATATTTTTGCTCAAGTTCATTTTTGCTTGAATAATACAAAGTAAAATTATTGCTCAAGTTTGTCCTAACTTTTTTAAATGTTCATCTCAGGTGCAAGATTTGCACTCAATAACTCCCAATTATTTCTTGCAAGTTAGTGGAGCAATAATCCACCCTCTTTCATATCAGCAGGTTAGTTAGATTACATATGGAAAGTTTTCTTTATTTTATATTGTCTTCTCAGAAAAAAAAGTTGAATATGATTTGCCTGCATTTAAGAGGCCAAAGGAGATGACTATTCAAATTAAGAAACTTGTCTAGAATAATTAACATCTTCCTGAAATTTATTAAATTAGTACAAAGTAGCTTTTGACCTTTTTCTTTCATTCTATTGGTGCTTCTGTCTCTAGGTGCCTTCTGTTAAATTACTGTTTTTCCATAAATGGCCATTTTTCCATCTCATATGTATGAAATAGAGTACCAATTTGTTTCTTCTTCTGGTTACTATTGCAGCATAGTTATCTGGATTGGTAACTTGTCATGGTGTTGTATAACAACTAACATATTTTTCTCATTTGAACTCAAAGTATGTTAAGCAGCCCTCCACAGGTTGCTTCTGTTGCTCTTCAAATTTTAAGTTACCTTTCTCATTATGGATGTTTATCACCTTTAATGCAGGCTAGGAACTTCCGATTTCAATGTGGTCTTGTTTATGTGACTGAACCAGGGTATGTATACTTATATAAACATTGATTATTCCATACTTATCAGTTAATTCTGTCATAAAAAAATTGGATAAAAAATTGGATATTTGCTGTAGTAAGGGGAGTAGATTAGATGGAAAGGGCTCAAATAGCTAAAGGTCGAGGTAGACCTAAATAAACTATAAGAGAAGTTATTAAGAAATATCTCAAGCTTAACAATTTAGATAAAAGCATGGTCCTGCATAAAACATTATGGCAGAAATTGATCTATGTAGCCGAACCCACTGAGTGGGATAAGACTTGGTTGTTGTTGTTTGTATTGATAGGTTACACTTATGAAAATTATAACTAGTACCAGGTTAGTGGAATTGCTAATTTGTTATAACTTTGTGATGATCTGGTAAGAATTATTTCTAGATGTATTTATGAATTTTCTCTCTGGTCACTGTTATGAGCAAAAATAATAATTTCACATTGATTAAGAAAGTTAATTATAAAGAATTAATTTTTTAGACTTCATGTAAAACCCAAGTAAAATTTACTAAACTATTCTTGTTGACATTTAATGAATTAACTACTTTATTAGATACTCCTTCTGTCCCAAATTATAAGTCATTTTAAAATTTCAATACAACATTAATGACTTTTTTCCTAGTATACCCTTTATCATATATTTCTCTTTCTTCTTCCTATTCTTTTAGCCCGCTTTCCAATATAATTAATGAAGGGCAATTTTGTAAAGTCATAGTTCATTTTAGTTTCCCTTAAAGTAATAATTGCATTTCTTAATTTGTGTGAAATATCCAAAACGTCTTATAAGTTGGGACGGGGAGAGAGTATATTTTAAATAAAATTAGGTATATTAGTAACACTAGCATTAAATAGCTTAAAAGTTGTCAACTTTTGCTAATAATAGTGACCAAAATTTTATGTCATTTTTTTCCTTATAATAATGATTGGGTGGAGTATTAAATTTTACTCTCTCCGGTACTTTTTATAAGCAACACTTCACTTTTTTAGATTCATTAAATAATTAATGTATTTGGTCTGTATTATAGACCAGATACATTAATTATTTAATGAATCTAGAAAGGTGAAATGTATCTTATAAAAAGGATCGGAGGGAGTATTACTTAAAGTTGTTCGGTTACTTGACCAAGTTGCCAAAATTTTTTAGTGTTGCATCACTTGAGTTATGCACAAGGGTCATTGCTAGAAGGAGAAGATACCTGTGATGTTTATTTAACATTTTGGTATAAAGCATGTGATTTGTTGAATATATGACAATCACCTTTTGCAGATATATGCTCTTTAAAGCAGGAGTTCCCCGCCATGCAATAATTAAGAAATTTGCCGGTGAAGAAATATCTTGCCTTGAGGAATTAATATCAATTCTGTCCAAGCTATCAAGGGGTGCTCGAGTACCATTGGAGTATATAAGCTACGTGGATCGTCATCGAAGGAAGGTAAGGTTACTATAGAGTCAAAATACATGATATAAATGTGTATTTGGAGATACCATGATTTTCTGTTGTTGCAAGGTAACTTTCTTAAAGTTTCTTAATCTTTTTAAACGTGCAAGAAAGTTATTGTAATATTAGTATTATTATTATTAGAATATGTTGAATATCATACAACTTATTATGAGCTGCTATCCTATACAATTTATTATGAATAATTAGGCATTTATAGGGAGAATAATCACACCTTTATTTAAATAAATGTATAGTCTATAAATACCTCTTATGTATTCTTTACAAAAGATATAAAAACATTTCCATATTTCTACATGGTATCAGAGCTCCCGATTCTAGGGGCTCTGCTTCCGCGCTCAAAACACTAGCCGTTCTTATTACGGTCCTTCTTTTTTTTTTTGTCAAGGTTCCCTTTCTCTTGGAACCCTAGTGATCTTGGTGACTTTGCAGCCATCGTGCACCGCTCAACCGCCGTTGTAGATCCGGATGTTTTCACCTTCATCTTTTTTTTCATGACAACCTTCATTGCTATACCTCTATTTACTTGCTGTTTGCAGCCCTTGATTGATCGGTTGTCATTGTTGTTGGTGTTTCTAATTGGTAGCCCTTCGATCCTCTTCTAAGACGATTGGAATTGCTGAGGAACAGAACGAGTTATATTGTTTGCCTCATAAGGAAAGTTAGTGTCATCAGGCTGGTTTAGAGTCATGGGCAAATACTCAAATATGGCTCCAACACAGGCGTCTTGGATATCCTCCTTTCCAGATGCTCAGGTCTTTATTCTCTCACTTATTTACCAAAGTGTCTGTTGATTCCTTTCATTGTGATGTGTGTCAGTTTGCCAAATCTCATCGAGCAACCTATTCCCCTAGTAATACTAGGAGTGTCGAACCCTTTGATCTTGTTCATTCTGATGTATGGGGGCCTTCATCCATTTCCAATATTTCTGGGGCAAAATGGTATGTTACCTTTATTGATGACCTCACTCGGGTTACATGGGTTTTTCTTATGAAAGATAAGTCTGAAGTGTGTCAATTGTTTGTTAACTTTTTTCAAATGGTCAAAACACAGTTTGTGAAACCTATTAAACGGTTACGGTCAGACAATGGTAAGGAGTATGTAAACCAAAATTTTTGCAATTTTCTCAAAATTAATGTTGTTCAGGAGTTGACTTGTGTTAACACTCCACAACAAAATGGGGTTGCTGAAAGAAAAAAATCGTCATCTTCTTGAAATCACCCGAGCATTACGTTTTCAAATGAATGATCCTAAATTTTATTGGGGGGAAGCTGTCTTGACCTCTGCTTATTTAATCAATAGGTTACCTTCTAGGGTGTTATCTGGTGTTAGTCCTGTGCAGGTCTTGACTCGATTCTTTCCGTCCGTGCCCATCTTGTCAAGTCTTCAGAATCGTGTCTTTGGTTGTTCTGCCTTTGTCCATATTCATGGCCCTCATCGGGGTAAGTTAGATCCTCAGGCTATTAAATGTATTTTCATAGGATATGCTTCAGATAAAAAGGGGTACAAGTGTTATCATCCTCCTAGTCGTCGTGTCTATATATCCATGGATGTTACTTTTCAGGAATCAGAGTCTTTTTATCCCAGTCCTCAGCTTCAGGGGGAGAATAATCAAGAAGCTGAGTCTTCAGAGTTGTCTATTCTTCCTGTTATTCCTCTAATACAGGACCCAGAGCCGTCTCCTGAATTGTCTGTTATTCCTATAATACAAGAGCCTTTGATGCCTAATGAGGATGGTGGTGATGTACCAATACCGGTGCATAATAATGATGAGGATGGTGGTGATGTATCAATACCGGCGCATAATAATGACGAGGATGGTGGTGATGTACCAATACCGGTGCATAATAATGTTGACAAATACAAATTACAGTTCCAGCGAAAAAGGTGGAAAGGTAAACCTGTTCTGCCCCAACAAGTCCAATCGTCTGAACCTGAGGTAAGTGTTCCTAACCCTGAGCCTAGTAATTCTTGTGAGCTGAACCTTGATGACCTACCTATTGCTTTGAGAAAAGAAAAAAAGGTCTTGTACTAAATACCCTATATCCCAGTTTGTGTCTACTGAAAAACTTTCTGTGCAGCATCAGAGTTTTATTTCAGCTATTGACTCTATTAGAGTCCCTACATCAGTACAAGAAGCATTAAAGGATAAGAACTGGATTCAAGCCATGAATGAAGAGATGCATGCACTAGAGAAAAATGGGACTTGGGAGATTATTGAGAAGACAAATGACAAGAGGCCAATAGGTTGCAGATGGATATATACGGCAAAATACCGATCCGACGGCACACTGGACAGATATAAGGCGAGGCTAGTTGCAAAGGGATACACCCAGACCTATGGAATTGATTATGAAGAGACATTTGCTCCAGTAGCAAAAATGAACACTGTAAGAATCATTCTTTCCTTGGCAGCTCACTTTGATTGGGAGTTGCAACAGTTTGATGTGAAAAATGCTTTCTTGCATGGAGATTTGGAGGAAGAGGTGTATATGGAGATCCCACCTGGATATGACCCTACTTCAGGAAGTAATAAGATTTGCAGATTAAAGAAGGCCATATATGGGCTCAAGCAATCACCTTGAGCTTGGTTTGGAAGGCTCACTCATGTTATGGTGTCCTTGGGTTATAAACAAAGCCAAAGTGATCATACTCTCTTTATAAAGCATTCTCAAAATGGTAAACTCGCTCTTTTGTTAGTCTACATAGATGATATGATCATAGCAGGTAATGATGAATTTGAGAAGATGAACTTGAGGAAGGAGTTGGCAGCTCAGTTTGAAATGAAGGATCTTGGAAAGTTGAAATATTTTCTAGGTATGGAAGTAGCATACTCAAAACAAGACATTTTCATTTCTCAGAGAAAATATGTCCTTGACCTTCTCAAAGAGACTGGCAAGTTGGGTTGTAAACCCAACAGAGTGCCTATAGAGCAAAACCACATGATTGGGAGTGATGAGGAAAGTCCAAGGGTTGATAAAGCTCAATACCAAAGACTTGTGGGAAAGCTCATTTATCTATCTCACACCAGGCCTGACATAGCTTATCCGGTTAGTGTTGTCAGTCAATTCATGCATGATCCACAGGAGAGGCACTTACAGGCTGTGGATAGAATCCTGCAGTATCTAAAGATGAGCCCAGGAAGAGGTCTATTGTTCAAGAAAAATGAGCAGTTGTCTATGGAGGTCTATACTGATGCAGATTATGCAAGGTCGATTGTTGACAGGAGATCCACCACTGAATATTGTATGTTCTTAGGTGGAAACTTAGTGACATGGAGGAGCAAGAAACAAAATGTAGTTGCCAGATCAAGTGCAGAGACAGAGTTTAGAGCCATGGCTCAAGGAGTTTGTGAATTGTTGTGAATGAAGATCATTCTAGATGACTTGAAAATAAAATATGAAGCTCCTATGATACTTTTCTGTGATAATAAGTCTGCTATTACTATTGCTCACAATCCAGTCCAACACGATAGAACAAAGCATATAGAGATAGACCGACACTTCATCAAAGAGATATTGGATAATGGTCTTATTTCTACACAGTACGTCCCATCAGGACTCCAGTTAGCTGATGTGCTTGTTGCAGTGAGAATCGTGATACCAAGCTATTGATTAACTTGAATCTTAATCCTTAAATTCACAACCAGACTTTAACTTATCCAAAGGAAAGGTTTAAAGAAAGAAATAACCTTTTTGCGCTACGTAACAACGAAGCTAAGAGATTCGGGGATCGGGGTTGGTTATGTCTAGGGTAGGTATTTCACATCCTAAACATCTGTAGTACTCTACAGGAACCTTTTGTTTGTTTGCATGCTAATAATTGCTAAATGTTTGCTATGGATTGGGATTGGGTAAAAGGTTAAGGTAAAGACCTAAGGACAGTTTCTAAGTTTGCTCGCAAAGATATCGCATCTTCTGCCTACGTATCCTTACTAGGATAGAATCAGAGCAATCGTAGTTCACCTCACTAGGGATGAAGAACACTTAATTATGATCAAAGTTCAAAGGGGAACAAACATTACAATGCTTGTGTAGAGTTTGAGAAAACTCTCTAGATCTACATTGAACACTCAAGAAAGGGGAGTAAGTAATCATCTCCATGATTCTTACATAGAGTTAACCAAACTCTACCTGATTCTACGTTGTAAGACCAATTGGTTCTATCCAGACCAAAAGGAGAAAGAAGGGGGAAGATTGTTCGTCAAGTTATCGCATCTTGTGTCTACGTATTCTCATTGTCCAATGAGAAATCAGAGCGGTCGTAGTTCGGGCACGAACTACAGAATAAGGATCAATTGGTTCTATCCAGACCAAAAGGGGGTGAAGGTTCTATCCAGACCTATGAGTTTAAATCCTATTGGTTCTATCCAGACCAAAAGGGGAGAAGGTTCTATCCAGACCTATGAGTTTAAATCCTATTGGTTCTATCCAGACCAAAAAGGGGGAGAAGGTTCTATCCAGACCTATGAGTTTAAATCCTATTGGTTCTATCCAGACCAAAAAGGGGGAGAAAGTTCTATCCAGACCTATGAGTTTAAATGAGCTATCTATGACCCAAAGGTCAATAGAGAGACTTTCCTTTGGAAGGGGAAAGATGAGGCAACATGGATGAGAACTAAAGAGTTCCATCACTTCGGGGTAATGACTTGACAAAAGCATAGACATAAACATTCAAACATGATGGACAAAAGATATGATTATAACCAAGAACAAGCAAGCATATTACAATATCAATGCAATGATTTCAATCAGGGTAAATGGTTACGACCAAAAAAAACATTAAGATATTATGATATCAATGATTTCAATCAAGGTAATGGTTACGACCAAAGCAAACAGTAAGATATTACGATATCAATGATTTCAATCAAGATAAATGGTTACGACCAATGCAAACATTAAGATATTACGATATCAATGATTTCAATCAAGATAGATGGTCACAACCAAAACAAGTATCAAGATATTACAATATCATGAAGGGGA